TATATATATATTATATATATCCCGATAATGAATACTTAAAATACAGTACAAATACAGTAATCGTCGTTTAATTGTAACAGAGAAAATAAGCAGTGTCAGAAATTTTACTGAACGTAGATAACAGGTTTTTTTTCAGTAGTACTGTACGTTAAGGATAGTCTCGTCTGCAGATAAGTGCGTCCATTTCCATCCACTGGGTTCACTTCCTGACCTTAGCTCGGTCGACATATCAGCGCACTCGATAAAAGAGCGTGCGGGCGTGCGAGCAAGTATAGACAAAAATCAATAATATTTTACATAACGGCCGGTAACATGATACACCGCCAGCGCAGATATCACTTGTACCAACCAAGAAAATCAATGTAAAGCTCAAAACGGTACAAAGTCTCGTGAATAACGTTGCCGTGGATTAATTAGTAAGGAAATGTTGTTGCTGTTGTTTAGGACTTTGATGAGACGAATGAATGTCACGGGAGATATATACATATGACTGCTAGTGCAGGGACACAGACAATAATATTCACAATAACTGGATAAAATGGAGTGATGCGATCGTGAAGCCGTTAGTTGCATGTTTCGACATTGTCCGTGATGACAAACAGAAACGCTCGCAAGCAACATGTAGGGACGAGTGTTAGTCACACATGAGAATCGAAAATTGCAGATGTTAGTTGATTTTGGATTGAACATTGATGAAACGAACTAAGCTTCCCTTTTATTAATAATGATAACTCAGCAGTTTGATTAGACAGTTTTAAAGCATCAATCAAATTAGTTTATAATGTTAACACATGAAAAATTATATATGAATACGGGTTTACTTGCCCTTTGTATTAATAATAAAAACTCTGTCAAGCCACCATAGGGTTAGTCAAGCGCATAATATCAATTTTCAATTATAGGGATAATCCCAAGCACACATATTTTGTCATAAAAATGTTTTCACCTTTTCTCTTTCGCCTCAATTTTCTAAATCAACACTCAGACTCTAACGTATAAATTGAGATGTCGACGAATATTAAGCTTTTTTACTTGATAAACAAACAAAAACTCTCACTAATACAAAAAAACAAAAACTATGTTTCAGTAGGCACTTTTATTCCTCGACATCTCAATTGATTCCCAAAAAATCAAGTAAAGCCACTCTTGACAATAATAAACGTAAAAATATCGACATGGACATAAAAACGTACGAAAAAAAAAGGGTTAAAAAGTAACAAAAAAATACCTCCTGCTCCTGCAGGCCGTCCATGATTTCTTCAAGATCGGCCTCGCTCTTGATACGGGCGCCGACCCTGTTGAAACGCTCCTTGTCCTCGCGCTGCTTACGCAGCTCCGGGAAGACTTTCTCGAAAAACTCGCGGTTCTTAGCCTCCTTGGTCTTACGCTTTTGCGTCGCCTCGAGCCTTTCGACCTTACGATGCCACTCCTGCACCTCCTGAGCGTACGTTTGGGACTGATGGTTGTGCCTGGCTGCACGTTCCGAGTGCTCTCTACGCAAACGCTTCACGAGGTGGGCTTTTAGGCACTGATGCCTCGCTCGGTTCTCGTGATAAACACTCGTGTCCGATGGTTGATTGTACAATGGCAGTTTCACTATCGGACCTAGCTTCTCCAACAGTCTGTGGGCCTCTTCCGCTTTTTTCTACAATTCGTCATTAATATTCATTGCCGAGCCACTCTAATTCTCTCAGTAAAACAGCAAAGCTTTCCACCAGACTTTGGCTTACCCTGTTATCCGCGTAGATTTTCTGTATGATAGACTGATGCTTGGGCTGCGAGGTCTCCTCCGCAGGCTGCCTACCGACCTCCGACTGACTATCCTCCAGCTCTTTCAGCTTTTTCCGAAGTATGGAACACCGCGACTCCCTCGTTGTTATTTCGTTATCGAGTTTACCGAGCTGCGAAAGGAGATCATCTTTGGTCGTCTTTAGCGCCAGATCCTCTTGCGTGTTGGGTTCCGGCAGAGTCGGCGATATCGCCTCTGTTTGCGGTGTGTAAGCACCTGCCGACGGCTGTAACGAAAACTATTCATTAGATATCGGCTTGCAGAAGAGTCAGGATCGACTTATATAATCGAGACTTACCCTCGTGTCTATCCTGAGCGGCTGTAGTTGCACCGGCTTCGGCTTGACCGTCTCCTGGATCCCCGTGATCCTCTGGCACTCCGACTGCGCTATCGACTGCTGTTGCTGTTGTTGCGACGACGTGATCTGCGGGGGAGGCTGAACGAGCCGGATCTTTTTGAAGGGTGGCGAGTCTTGCTGGAGTTGGGCCATATCCACGGGACTCGGCCTGTACTCCTGTGGCTGCATCGAGAGTATCGTCGGGCCACCGGTACCACAGCGACTCGCATTGCGAACAGCGGACGCGTGGTAATCAGATGGAGCCGTTGGCGAGGCCGAGGGTGGTATCGAGACCGGCGACGTCAGGAGCATCCTCGGCCGATCACCCCTGCTCATGTATTCGTTGCCGACCCCGATGACCTGCGACGACGCTGGACTACTGCTCACGCCTATCGCCACCCGGTCGTTCACCTGTAATTATTTAATGACAGTGTTATTTAAAAAAAGACGCACTTTTGTCGTTTTACCGACAAGCCGTAGTATCACTACACCAGATAAAAATAGAAAAAGGGCAGCTCGAGCATTGGAAAATCAAATACATTCTTTCGATGCTGAAAAATTGATACGATCGCGATACCGAAATAATCTTTCGAACGCAAACCGACGGCACAAACTTCGTGCATCATTGACGAGTCGAGCTTGCTTATTCCCAGCAAAGCTCACGAAAGCAAGCTTGAATCGTACATTTCTTCTTCGAGTACCCACTTTCAGTCAAACAGTGTGTAATATGGTAACGCTCGAGGCATTTATCTTATAAACACAATGTTATGACGAGGGTCAGCGGGAGCATTGTATACATATATGCATGAGGCATGCATCGACCGAGCGAGAGAGAAAGAAAATAAAACAGATAGGAAACAAAAACACCGATGGGAGAAGTAAGAGAAGAAAGAATTCCCGCGAAACCAAAGAAACGGCTTAACAAAACCTACACGAGCTGTACATTATACGCGCGCGAGATCGTGTGTCTGTGTGTGCATGTGCGTGGTGAATGAAAAAAAAAAAAAAAAAAAATAAATAAAANAGCACAAGTCCCTGGCATTCCGTTCGATGTAATGATTTGCGCGTCCCTTTAATTTTCCCGTTATCAGTGTACAGGTACATATAGTGCAATGCACGCGTTGGAATAGCTCTGAAAGGGTATACACACACACACACACACACACACACATGAGGAAAGGGAAAGGGTCCGGAGTCGTGCACAAGCAAGGCGCACACACCCCATGATACATATGGAAAGACAACACGTGGTGGAGGGTCTCCCACGCTGCATTGCACCAGATAATAGCCGCACGGACGCGTGCGCGCTGCCGTTGGGTATGTCAGTTGTTCGGGTAGACGTGTGCACCCAACGACAGCCCGGCATCGAATAGCTTGTACCGAGGGGCTCCCAACGCCCACTGTGCATATATAATACGCGTGTTGTGTTTACGTGTAAGGCGAGCCCATGGAGAAGGGCTTTTTGCGGACCATTAGTCACGCCAGGGGCCATTGTTGGCGGGTCAAAGTTTCGCGTTGCTGGTATAGAAAAAAATAAATAAATAAAAAGAGATAGAAGAACGAGACGAGCACACATAATACATGTATGTATTTCCCTCCTCGCAATTACGGCAGCCAGAACCATCGCCACCGCGGACGCGGCCGCCGTTCTGTCTGTAAACAAATCGATAAGCAGGCGTGTGTGTGTATGTATAGGTATGCGTGGAGTAGCGAAAATACGCTCGCAGGTTGGTGTACACCAGCCCCACGCTATTTCCCATATATGCCCTACATACATACGTATAGCGGGTGTGTACAAGGGCCTCGATGATATTCCGAGAAACGCAGGGGCTACTTCCTTCCTGCATAAGAGGGACATTCTCGAGGTGGAGGGATCTTTGCATAAATAGGAGACGAAACCCTCTTATTTATCATATCTGTGCCTTGTACCGTGGTTTGACCCAGAGAGAAAGGACGCGTACGAGAATAGCTTTGGCGTGATACTTTCAACTGGGAACGTACGATGAATCAAATATTCAATTATGCATGAACGAACAAAGTTTTATTCGCACAGCTATACGTGTATCTAAAGGAAGAAGGGAAAAAGAAAAGTACATGTAAATCGATGAAAAAAAAAAAAAAGTCCCGTTATATACCAATCCATCGCACGCGTGTTCGAGGAAAATAAATGCACATACTGAGATGAAGCACAATGGAACAATATAGATTTGAGCCCGAGTCTTCCGCGCTCGTGGAAGAAAAACGATTCAATGGGCCATTGAAAGGCTTGGCAACCGAGCAGGGAATTTTCTTGTGGAAAATTGTGCTTCGATGTAATCACGCGCATTATACCTCTAACGAGCGAGATATCATTTTGACGAGTTTTATCTTTATCTTCCAGGTCATTAATAAAAAAAAAAAAAAGAAAAAAGAAGAAAAAAAACGATCTGCCGATGGTTACGACTCACGTTTGGACTGGAGTTTCTGTAGGGGTCCCTACTGTAGGCGGCAGTCGCGCCAGTGACACCCGAGGCCGGCGACGGGACCGAGGGTGGATGCTGCCTACTGGCAACCTGCTGCTGAACGATCGAGGAGGGACCCGAGGAAGCTGAAACTGGCGATGCCGAGTTTGAGGATACCACCTGGGCAACCGAGACCGCCTGAGCCGTTGGCGGGTGTGGGTGTGGCGGAGGTGGTGGCATGTACGGATGAACGAAGCGCAGGCCCGACGGCACCGGCACCACCGGCGGTACCGTGATGTTCATTATCGTAATCAGGCCGCTCGGATCGCTATTTCCTTGCTGCAAAAAGTAATTTTTATCATTCTACCTATCCATTTGATCTCGTGGTTAGTCAAATGATTGGTAGTAACTAACCGTGTGTTGATCCCGCGACGAGGAGACAGAGGAAGGGGGTGGGGGGTGTAGTCCCGCTGGTGGCTGGCCAGGGCCGCCAGCCGGGCCACTGTTCATCGCCAAGGTGCCCAGCGATGATGAGGTGGCTGCGCCGGCGGCGACCTGCTGTTGCTGCTGGAAATGATGTTGTTGCTGTTGCAGGTGCGGGTAGTGGTAATAATGGTGCGGCGGCGGTGGCGGCTGCTGTTGCTGCTGCTGCTGCTGCTGCTGATGATGGGGGCCCTGAGCAACGACACCACTCCCGGTAGGCGGCTGAGACTGATGCTGTGGCTGATGAGACAGCAGCTGATGTTGTTGTTGTTGTTGTTGTTGTTGTTGTTGTTGCTGCTGTTGATGGTGATGATGGGGTTGTTGTTGCTGAGGCGGCGGTGGCGGCGGCGGCTGATGCGGGTAGGGCTGTATATTAAGGTGGTGCTGGTGCTGCTGCTGTTGTTGCTGCTGCTGATGGTGGTGGTGGTGGTGGTGGAGGTGGTGGTGCTGCTGCTGCTGAGGGTAGCGAGCCGCCCCACCGCCGCCGAGGGCGAGGCTGCCGGCGCCACCGCCGCCGGCCCCCGCCGCAGCAGCGCCGCCCCCGACGGCCCCGACACCGCTACCCTCGACCGTCCGCGGAGACACCGCTCGATGTGAGTTGGGACCGTAGCTCTGCTGGGGCCTAAAAACAAACTATCGATATTATCATCGACTCATGTCACCTTTGGGCATGAAATCCCGTTTAATCATCGCACACCAAGGCTCTTTTTCTCCCTTTCCCTCTCAATAATATTTTTCATTTCCCGTGAATCAGGAATGTCGTGCATAATAGCAGTAATGAAAAAGGGGATTTTCAGTTGGGCGGAAGAGAGAAATTTCTCCTCGGATTACGGCAAAAGTTTCGCAACAACTTTCTTACTTTCAAGGCAAAGGGTACACCGACGGAGGAAAGAAAAAGGTGAGAGAAATAAAATTGCAAAAAGTTCGACGTCGATTAATCGCACCGCGCGCGCGCCCCATGAACTTTCAGAGAATCACTTTATTACGAAAGTTCGGCCCTGCCAGGGTTGTTACACCATTGTTCCGAAACCGTATATAAATACGATCCAACTCTGTTCAAGTGACCGGGAACTATACCAAAGACCAATTTGAGAACCAAAAAAAAAAATAGAAATGGCCCCACTTTGGCCAATATGATTAAATTATTACTGAGAATGTAGAGTGTAGAGTGTGTATATTTAAGCTAAGGACCTACGGTCCGTATTAGCCTAGGCTCAAGTCCTTACAAGACTGCTAAAAGCAGTTTTTACAATGTTATTGACACGCAGGTCACAATAGTATAGGATGTATCATAGATAAATTAATTAAAATAATGTTATTCAAAATAAAATTGTGCATGTAAGCATCTAAATTAACACGCGTCACTAGTAACTCTGCGGTATTCGAATTTCTGAGGTTGATTGCATTTGGTGAGGCAGACTTGAAAGTAAATAAATAGTTCAGCAATATATTCAGGTCTTTGTGCTGTAAGGATTCCTTGCAGAAGGCACAGCATAACATATCTTCTTCTGTTAGAATATGACATAATACCATACTTTTTATAAGCTGATGTTTATATATGCTCAAATTTTCGAATATCATCTATGAGGCGAAGGGCAGCATTCAAGCAACGAGTCATCTTAAGCTCCATTTCCGACGATAAGTCATAAAATAGAGACGCACAGTAATCCAGGTGTGGAAATAATATAAGTGTACATACCAAGAGAAGTCTAGTGCTACTCGAGGGACTGTCCTTAAAGCGCCTAATCTGTGCTAATGCAGAATAACATTTGTTTGCAACTATCGTACAATGTGGCCTCCACGTCAATGTGCTGTCAAGCATGACTCCCAGCAGCTTAACTTGTTCAGTGGGTGCAATAATTATTCCATTAAATAATACATCAGGTAATGAGTTATTTAAATGTAGACGACCATTTATACCTCTAGTGCCAAACCAAGTCACTTTCGTTTTTTTATCATTAGCAATAAGGCCATTTACATCTAACCACATTGAGACATCTTCTAGAATTTTATTCGCCTTCTGTATAATATTTCTGGCCTCTTGGACCTCACCTTGTATATAAAAACCAAAGTCATCAGCATAAATATGATATTTACAACCTCTGCAATTTACTGAAATATCATTGAAAAAAATTGAGAAAAGCAATGGCCCAAGTAAACTTCCCTGAGGCACACCCGAGCCACGAAAGAGTGTCTGAGAAAGTTCACCAGTGGGTGCACGAACGGTCTGCGATCTCTCAGTCAAGTAAGATCCGATCCACGATGCTGCAACATCAGAGAAACCAATGGTCAAAAGTTTGGCAACAAGTAAGTCAACAACACGTGCATTTACGTGTCCTACAACAAATCTGCTAGTGTTCACATTTGTGGTGTTATTCGCCATAGTTTATAGTATGGGATTTGCGTTCTATACTAGCACGAAGTGTAGGACACTTAATGTTGTCAAATGCACAATGCTTTGTGTTGTGGAGATTATTATTTTTGAAATTTATACAACATTCAGATGATCTAGATGTGCAATCCTTAGTACTATGTGAGCCAGCACAACAACCACAAACCACCTCATCATTGCAATTTGTAGCGATATGACCCAGCTTTTGACATTTGTAGCACTGCATTAGAGATACATGATCATTGAATTTGCATTGGACCCAACCGAGGCTTACTCTATCTTGAAGAAATAATTTTTTTCGATATTCAGGCGGCAATTCAATCACACACGATCTATGTTTTTTGTTACGTGCTGGGTATAGATATACAATTTTTATTTCTTCTTGTTTACATTCACGAAGATTTTGTGATGTAAGGCTACTGTGAATTTCGTCTTTAGTGTATTCAACGGGTATACCATGTATGATGATGCGTGGGTTTAACTTTAAGTCCCAATTTTACTAAATTAGGGCATTTTATCAAATTTTGTAGCTCCTCACCCTCAACAACTACTGATTTGTTAGATGTCAATGTAACTCGCCCAACTTTCAGGCCCAGATCAGCTGCAGAAATGGATTTTAACGCATTTTTCGTGTCTAAAGCTGTTTTGTATTATTTAGCATGTTTATTGAGAGGTCCTATCCTTACTCGAGTCTCATTTCTTATTGGGATTGATTTACTATTGCCAAATACTACATTACTATGTGCGCCTCGTCCCGCAACATCAGCAAATGTTTTAGCTTTTCCCGTAGCTGGCCATGTCCGATTTTCTGCGACAGTCAGAGGTAATCTGTCAATTATCTGTTGCAATTTAAGTTCGCTATTATGACGTTCCTCTTCAACTGCAAGTTTAGCCAAATATGCAGAAGATATACTGATCAACGCAGAATTAAGAGTGTTTATATCAGTTCGCAGTGCTGACTTGACTGACTTTTCTCTTTCATTATCCAATCGCTGTAACAAAACATCAACATCATGTTTGGTACGTTTGAGCAGCAGACGAACCTTAGAAGCAGACAGCGTGGAGTCATCGTCGTCATCCGTATTGTCTGCACTCGAAGCATTGCTATCCCTCTCCTCCTCTCTTCCGTCTCCCTAATCCTCACTCATATCAACAGCTGTTACTGTACTCACCCGAGAGAGAGAGAGAGCGGTGATAAAGACAGGCAGAAAGCAGTACCCATATGTGAAACTCATCAACACAAGCATATTGTTCTTCAGTGTGCCAATCACATAAATATATCCACCTGCCCGCCAAGAAAAGGACCCGATAAACTTTCAACCCCGTTTTCCGCTTCTGCACCTTCCTGACTGTATACATCTGTACACCAACAAACGAAACGAGAGTATGTAGCGACCGCGCCTTCTTCGCGTTATCAGTCGTCGTATACACGTATCGATCAGCGTCTGCAGCTGTTTCCGAGAGCTTCCTCGCTCCCCAAGACTTTTTTTCTCTGCTTCCAGTCATCACCGTAAGCCAGAAATGTATATTATCGTGCAAGGCTCAGTCGGCGACGAAAACTCCTTTCCGCTAATTTCGAGAGGATCCCTCGTCCTATAAATTGACCTTTGGGCTTTTTCTTGTGTTGCATATGATGATGTTGGGTGAGAGGGGCTTTAGATGTATTAAAAGCCAAGCCAGCCCCGCGGCTACGGAGCAGCCACAGCCTTAATTAACGTCACGACCGAGTTAACTTTGTACAGTTTGCTATTATTTTTTTTTTTTATATCAAGATACCAGGGAAGGAAGCTTCGTGCTTTATAATATCTTGTTCATCAATATTCCAGCAGCCAACACATACTACCAATTAATTAGTCACCGTGTGCGATTTTCCCCTTTGAAATCTATAGCCAAGCGCAATTTTACAAGGGGGGAGAGGGGGAGGAGAAGAAAAAAAGAAAAGAAATCTGATTAAATCAACAAAGTTCCGGCTCTCCTCCTCCCGCTTTTTCTCATTAGCCGGTGAAATAAATCGTGTACCACTCTCAAGAGAGAGAGAGAGGAGTACTGTGTCCTCGGGTAACAATGATGATAATGTTGTCGCGGGCGAAAAGGTTGCAGCAGCGACTCTATTGTACCACAACTAGGTATATATACTACATGCGTGCATCTGCCGGGTCATATTTTTTAAAGTTGAACCATCACCTATGTATGTATAGAAGTAAGCGTGAACTCGTAAAAGGGGGGGGGTGGGAAATCATGAATGCGCTGGAAATATTTCAAGCACGTTTTAACTACGTATATACATAACATACACACACCACCACTGTACCATCATCGCATCATTATTCGTCTCTGTGTACATGTATTTTTTACAATAAAACAAAAAGAAATTATTTTTTCGCGTGTCAATATTTTCCCTCCTTCGACGCAGCAATCGAAATCAAATCGAAGCAAAAAAAAAAAAAACCAACCCCCACCTACGGTCGCGTCTATAGGTAATTTGGACATTTTCCGAAAACAACAAAAGCGTACGTGGGGTAAGTGTATACTTGAATCACGGCCGAGGTAGGTGTAATGCGCTCTTGTATTACGTCGCACGTCTACTACATGTACCTACAACGTTATATTATACATGCGCGAGCTACTGCTACACATATTATGTTCGGATCGATAGCCGCGTCGTCGTCGAGTGAACTGACCCCGAGGACCCTGCCCGTTATATCGGTTCGGAGAGTTATTACTTATCAATGACTTTCAATCGGACTGGCTTACTCTCATACACGTAGACCTACTGCAAGTCAAACCCCATCACCCTATACCTTTTTTTTTACTTTTCTTCCGTCTATCTGAAAAATAAAATTTTCCCTCATGTATACGCACACTTATGTTACACCTGTACAGGACCCGCTGTCGAGTAACAGGATAATTCGCTTGAATCGATCAATTTGCATTTATAGAAACGCGCGCGTACTCGTATAATTATTGCACATCAACAATTATGATTATTCCGATCCGTCCAAGTGAAAGCTTCGTACCATTTGTGACATATACATATTTCGTACAAACGAAAAGAAATTTTTTTTCTCTTTTCACAAAAGTTACACGTTGTAGTACAAACACACGTAACTACACGTCGCAAACAAAAATTAAGATAAATGATTCATCAAACAAACACACGAACATAACATAAATAGAAGGTGGTGTAGTAACCACATAAACGATCGATAAACGATATATTGTTAAACAAA